AGAGAAAGATTATAAATATGTAAAAGCAAAACTTTCAAATTTATTTAGATATGTAGTATACATATAATATATTATAAAGAAAAAGTGAAATTTATTCTGTGTTATATAAATTACAGTAATTAGGAAGTGATCAATAGAAAATACCATTGAGGAGAATCCGTCGTCAGCTAATATAGGAAAAAGTGAAAATACTTAACCAACAGCTCTCATACATACTACTCTCTGTATTTAAATAAGTAAAATGTAGAGGATCTCTATTTTAAAAAATAAATACATTTAAAACGTATTTAAAAAGTAATGAAAGCCTTCTTATAATATTCAAAGTAGTTAAACAATTCGAATGTGAGTGAAAAAAATATTAAACAATTCAAAAACACTTAGGTTTCATTCCGTGCCTCCATTTAAATCTTTAGGAGTAGGAAAGGCTTTATTAACAAGAACCATTTACAAAATAAAATGTTAAATTAATCAGTCCAATGAAAATCGGCATAGATTACGCATTTTCAATCATACATTTCATATCATTAAATAAAAAAAATTAAGTATTCAATATTACTACAAAGTTCAGAAAACAGGAGGTGACGAGATGGCGGATTAGAGACATTGGTTGCGCAGATTGTCCAAATACAGGAAGAGTTTCCGGTGAGATGAGAGAGCCAGGTGAAATACTCAAGGAAAAGCCGAACCGCCCCTACTGGAAGGCCATGGAGGAATGTGAGCTGAAGAAGGTAGGAGCCACATTTTGACAGAGAACAACTCAGAGGCATTGGAGCCCGTCAGCAAAGCAGTGGCGTGATGACTTTCCTCCCTTCACACCTGTTCAGATTGCCGAGCTCCTGACTGTGAGACCCTCTGTCCGACAAATGCAGATGCTCTGACACTGCGAATTGAAGTTCTGGGGACAGAGTTGCTTGGCAGCCAGCCCCAGTGAGTCACTTCCTCACCACCTGAGCCACGCTGAAGATGGCAGTGCCATGTTGTCTGCACACACACCAGGTCCTCTACTCCAGCCAGGGGAGTCACAGCCTCTCAGTTCTTCACTGATCCACACAAACGATCCCCAATCCCTGCCCACACCTGGACAGACCAAAAGGAATAGGAGACACAGGAAATCATGGTGTTCCTGGAGTTCTGACCCATGACACACACATCCGCACAGTGTGTCCTCACTGTGATGTGAGTTGATCTGTGCTTCCAGTGAACGCTCCTGGCCTTCCTCCTTCTCCTCGCCACCCCTGCCATCGAGGAAGCCGTGGCTGAAATGCTGTTTATGCTCAGGGACTGGTCAGTGTTCCACAGGACCATTAACCGAGCACCTGGGAGCACTCCGCCTCTCACAGACCACCTCACACATAGCTTCCATGGAGCTTAGGGCTCACTCCTCTCTGCTAAAAAAAGCAAAACAAGCACTTATGTGTGCCACTAAACAAAAGCTGATGACCTCCTACTAAGGAGAAACTTGCGCTCCCATCCTTCTCCCCAAACTGCAAGCTGCCTGTAATCTTCTGCAAGGAAGCCAACCCATCCCCCAGAGGCAAGTCTCATGCACAACCACACTGCTCCCTGGATAATTCAGCCCAGCCCACAACCCAGTCTGACAGCCCCACAACCAGCGGTTGAGCTGCCTCTTCCACCTCTCCTGCACTGGGGTTTGATGGAGCTGTAATCTGGGTGCTTTTGTACACCGCAGGGACAGAGACCACAGTCATTGCCAAGAGGAAGGTTTAGTGGCTGCGGTCCACAGCTGCCTGCTGCTGCTAATGTCAAGAAGGCTCCTCACCGGCTCACAGTGCATCAAATCCTTCCCTTGGAATGCGTGTTCTCCTGGGCAGGGGAGCAACCCACCCCTACCATCACACCAGCACCTGGACCCAGAGGCTTGGGAGCAAGCTTGCCAGGCCAACCTTGGTCTGTCTCCAGGACTGCCAGGCACACCACCCAGGACCGGGGACGGGATTACCCAGCCTAGTCTACCACCGAGTGGCACATGAACAGTGCCCAGGGTGAGAGGCGAACCCCCAATGATGGCAGCAACACCAAGTGGGTATCAGTCACAGTGTCAAAGGATAGGGTGACTCTCCCTTCTACACTGAGCAACAGAGACCCGGAAATAAACGACTCAAACCACATATGGCATCTGTTTGGGCTGATGAAAAGTCTAGAGTGAAATAACCACAGAGAAGAACTCTGCATAAATAAAATAGCAGGCGTTTCCACCCCAGTGGATCACACTAGCCTCCAGCAAGTGACTTCCACAAAAAGCAATGTTTTAGAGTGTTTTATTGAATTCAAAAATGGATCACGAATATGATCAATGGAACAGTTGGAAAGAGAAAACCACACAACATGCAACAACAAAAAGTTCAGGACAAAAGAATAAATTTACTGAATGATCATATTAAAAACACAGAATTTGTGAAAAAATAATTTAAGGAAATACGAAACACAGTGGAGTTAACACAGATCCAAATGAGAGCCAAAGAAAGAATTAGAGCTTGGAGAAAAACTTTGAATCAACTATCAGTCCACATAACCGACAAAAGATCAAGAAGAAATGAACAAAGTCTTGAGAATTATGGAAATGTTAGATGAATTATAGAAACTTCAGGGAGAGAACAAATGAACATCCTGGAAAACCTATCTGAAAATAAAGGAGAAAGCTTCTGGTCCAGCAGACATTTGACCAATCCAGATACAAGAAGGTCATTGGAACTCTGAGAGATCCCTTACTAATAGTCATTCAAGACACATATGTCATCAGACTGAGAAGTCAAAGTGAAGGAGAAAGATCTACAGCTGCAAGATGAAAGCATCAAATATTAAAATAATTTATGTCTATGGAGACAGATACGGTAAAATAGATGGTACCAGAATATGGTGGGGGGGGGGGTGTTAACAGGAGAGAGGATATGAGTGAGTATGCCTAATGGGTAAAAAACATAGTAATAGTTAGAATGAAACAAATTAATTTTTTTGCATGACAGACAAAGTGAGGTATAATCAACAAATGTTAGGTCTACCTTAAATAACTAAAGGGTGGAGATTGGATTTCCAGAAGTACAAAGAAATGCTAACTGTCCTGAGGTAATAGGATACAGTAATCTACCAGACTTTCATTGGATTTCACTTGTATGCCTGTATCAAAACATCACAGTACCTATAAATATACATGACCTATGCACCTGTAATAATGTAAAATAAAAGTTTGAAGGCATCTAAGATTCGAAAGAGGAGCAAACATCTCAGAAAAGATTCTCCAAACACTCCTGAATTGATAAACCAAATTCAGATAATTTACCATTAGAAAATTATGTTACACAAATCGAGTAACCTACAATACAACTAATAAACATGTCAAGCCAAGAGTCATTAAAAATCAAATGATTTTACTAATAGACAAAAAATAAACCTAGAAAATACTTAAACAAGAGGTGGAACTCTACAGCAGGAATACAACTACACTAATGAAAGAATCAAGATGACACACACACAAGAAAGGATTCATACTCAATGCATTGAAAGAATCAACATTGTTAAAAGTCATGCCGCACAATAGTGATTTAGCAGATTCAGACAATTCCAAACAAAATACCAACACCCTTCTGCAACAAGAACCTTAAGAAAAACAATCCTAAACTAATAGGGATTCATAAAATGGGGCCTGAATATCCAAGCATGCTAATGACCAAGAAAAATCGGAGGTATCAGGTTATCCGACTTCAAATTGTACTACATGGCTATAGAACACAGAAACGAAGTAAATGGACAACCTACAGAAGGGAACAAATATTCTCAAAGTATAAATCCAACATATATTCCAGAAGCTAACCAAAGAATCAAAAACCACAAAGAAAAACATAACCCCATCAAAAGAGCACAGTACAATACATGAAAAATTTTGTTCAAGACGACGACACACATGCCGCAAACATGAAGAACACTCACCATTCACTTAGTCATCAAGAAATCCAAATAAAACCACCATGAGAATCATGATGACGCTGGTCCCAGAATTGTTATATTAAGCCAAAAAACAATGGGTGCCATAGATTGCTAAAAAGAGAACACTTACACTGTCCGGCTGGGGATGTAATGTACAAGCTGTAAGGAAAACTGTGGAGATTCCTTCAAAGAACTGAAATAGACCTACCACTCTTTGCAGCAATCGCCACTATCTGGGTATCCAAAGGAAAAAGAATCATTATGTCAAATAAAAAGCAAAATATATATGTAAGCTTATAGAACTAAAATGTTTATTCACAGCAAAGAAATAATCAACAAGACCCCAGTAATCAACTGGGGAATCTGTTTCACCTCTCAAAGGTGGCAAGAGCAAGGAGGTTCCTATACAACTGGAGGGAGACTGCCAGGCGCAGGGGCTGTTCCTCCCAACACTCCCGTGCCTGCCCTGCCTGCAGGTCCTGCTGTTCTACACCTCTGGCCTGTGCCCGAACCTTTGTTTGCTCGCCCCCTCCCACCTCATCTGCCCTGAAGCAAGGCTCACATGAATTTTGGGTCTCAAGAAAAGCAAGTAGGATGTAAACGTCTTTACCTGAGACAGTACTCCAGGGGGTCACTGGGTTGCGACACACCTGTGGTTGTCTATAACAGCCAATACATCTGAGACGTCCACCCTGTGGCACTGGGTTCACAGGCCACAGGGAACAAGGCAGAGGACGTGCCAAGAGTGCGTGGTCCACGGTCCAGGAGAGCTTTGTCCATTTCTCCAACCAGAATGAAACTGTCAAATCTCCTGAGACACACTGGATCCGTCCAGTTTCCTCCTGGGGTCACCACAGGGCCTCGGCAGGCTGA